TAGCATGCAATTTCAAAAAAGTTCCTACGCTCAGGCAAGATCTATCTAGGAGATGCATAGCAATGAGAGGGGGAGAGTGTGTCCATATACCCTCGTAGACCGAAAGCAGAAGCGTTTGACAATGCGGTTGATGTAGTCGAACTTCTTCTCGTTCCGACCGATCAAGCACCGACCGTACGGCACCTCCGAGTTCTATGCAAATTCATCTTGATGACGTACCTTGAACTCTTCATCTAGCAAAGTGTCGAGGGAGAGTTTCGTCAGCACGATGGCATGGTGACGATGATGGTGAAGTGATCCGCGCAGGGCTTCGCCTAAGCACTACGACAATATGACCGGAGGCGTAAATTGTGGAGGGGGGCGCCGCACACGACTAACAATCGTTGTTCTATGCTCTAGAGATGTCCCCCCCTCATATATATAGGTTGAAGGGGAGGAGAGGCAGCCAAGGGGGCACCCCAAGCAGGAGGAATCCTACTTGGGCGCCTCCCAATTCAGCCTCCCCCTTCCATATCCATCCGGAGGGGGAAGGAAGGAGAAGAGAGGAGGGAAGGAAGGGAGAGGCCGAATCCCTCCCCTTCCTTTCTCCCTTCTCATCTTTCCTTCCCCCTTGTTTTGGCCTACATGGGGAGCACCAGCCCCTTAAGGGCTGGTCCATCCCACTCTTGGCCCATTAAGGCCCATGTAGTTGCCAGCGGGATGCCCGGAACTCCTTTCGGTGACCCGATATGCACCCGGTACCCACGGAACACTTCTGGTGTCTGAATACCATCGTCCTATATATTAATATTTACCTCTCGAACATTTCGAGACTCCTCGTCATGTCTGTGATCTCATCCGGGACTTCGAACAACATTCGGTCACCAAACCACATAACTCATATAATACAAAATTGTCACCGAACGTTAAGCGTGGGGACCCTACGGGTTCGAGAACTATGTAGACATGACCAAGACATCTCTCCAGTCAATAACCAACAACGAAACCTAGATGCTTATATTGGTTCCCACATATTCTACGAAGATCTTTATCGGTCGTACCGTAATGACAACATGCGTTATTCCCTTTGCCATCGGTATGTTACTTGCCCGAGATTCGATCGTCGGTATCTTCATACCTAGTTTAATCTTGTTACCGGGAAGTCTCTTTACTCGTTCCGTAATACATCAACCCGTAACTAACTCATTAGTCACTTTGCTTGCAAGGCTTCTTGTATTACCGAGAGGGCCCAGAGATACCTCTCCGATACTCGGAGTGACAAATCCTAATCTCAATCTATGCCAACCCAACAAACACCTTCGGAGATACCCGTAGAGCATCTTTATAATCACCCAGTTATGTTGTGACGTTTGATAGCACATAAGGCATTCCTTCGGTATCCGGGAGTTGCATAATCTCATAGTCGAAGGAATATGTATTTGACATGAAGAAAGCAATAGAAATAAAACCGATCAATATGCTAAGCTAATGGATGGGTCATGTCCATCACATCATTCTCCTAATGATGTGATCCCGTTATCAAATGACAACTCATGTCCATGGTTAGGAAACCTTAACCATCTTTGATCAACGAGCTAGTCAAGTAGAGGCTCACTAGGGACACAGTGTTTTGTCTATGTATTCACACGTGTATCAAGGTTTCCGGTTAATACAATTCTAGCATGAATAATAAACATTTATCATGATATAAGTAAATATAAAATAACAACTTTATTATTGCCTCTAGGGCATATTTCCTTCAGCTACTACTATACCTAGCCTGTTTGCAACGACGTGGCAATTATAGTAGTAGCGTGTTTTCTTCCTGCCGCGCTACTGCTGAGTGGATAGCAGTAGCACTCTTTGTGACCAAGCGCTACTGATAATTAGTAGTAGCGCCTCCTTTTAACCAGCGCTACTGATAAGCTTCTGTGTATAATGTTTTCCCTAGCAGTGGCATGGCAAGGCACACATCAGGTATGGTACACAACATGGCATACATTATAGAGCCTATGGCTGAGACATAGGGGATGACCTTCATCCTTTCTCTTTCTTCTACCGTGGTCGAGCTTTGAGTCTTATCAATTTCACACCTTACAATACAGGAAAGAACTCCTTATTTGACTAATCCATTTTGAACTCCTTCAAAATCTTGTCACGATATGTGCTCTGTGAAAGTCTTATCAGACGTCTTGATCTATCTCTATAGATCTTGATGCCCAATATGTAAGCAGCTTTACCTAGATCAATTGAGATATTCTCAGATTGTTGGCTCCTTCAAAATCTTGTCACGATATGTGCTCTGTGAAAGTCTTATCAGGCGTCTTGATCTATCTCTATAGATCTTGACGCCCAATATGTAAGCAGCTTTACCTAGATCAATTGAGATATTCTCATATTGTTGGCTTGCTTATGTACTTGGCGAGTGCCACGAGGCCTGGTATCTCGTTTGCTGTGAGCAAACTGAGCCGGTTTGTGACAAAACTGGGAGATAGTTATGCGCTATTTGAAAGGCACTACGAGATATGGGATTCACCACACCGGGTATCCAAGGGTACTGCAGTGTTATAGTGACTCAAACTGGATATCTAATGCTGATGAGATTAAGACCACGAGTGGTTATGTTTTTACACTTGGTGGTGGCGTTGTTTCCTTGAAGTCTTGCAAGGAGACCATCTTAACGAGGCCAACTATGGAAGCAGAACTTACAACATTAGACACTGCCACTATTGAAGCAGAGTGGCTTCATCAGCTCTTGATGGACTTACCTATGGTTGAAAAACCAATACCCCCTATTCTAATGAACTGTGATAATCAAACTATGATTGTCAAGATAAATAGTTCTAAGGATAATATGAAGTCCTCAAGGCATGTGAAGAGGAGATTAAAATCTGACAGAAATTTGAAGAACTCCGGAGTTATTACGTTGGATCATATCCAAACGTCAAAAAATTTGGCAGATCCCTTCACAAATATCACGTAATGTGATAGATAATGCATCGATGGAGATGGGTTTGAGACCCACCGTATGAGTTGTCCACAGTGATAACCCGCTCTATGTGATCGGAGATCCGATGAAGTAGAAGTGGGAGACAAGTTGTTGGTCAGCTGGGAGGAGAGTATCCCTATATTAATTATCCCACTCCATGGAGATACAATATTCTTCTGATCTGCATGGCAGGTTGATGCTTGTCTTAATGTGTTCCAGGTGGCTTATTGGGTAAGCAGATATGTTGTCCTACAGAGCATCTCCTGAGGAACACACCTATATGAATTTGACTGTTAACATCGCAGTCTGTGAGAATTGGGTATTCTTTAATAAATTCAGGAAAGGCCCTGGAGTATGACGTATACGCTCCACCCACGGGGAAGCCTTGCGGTAGCCAGTATCAGTCAAGAATTTGTGTGAAACTAGTCTCGCAGAAAACTTGTAGTTCAAGGCATAGTCCAGTATTCAAGTTGTGATCTAGTGTAGCATAAAACTCTAAGTGGAAGTTCAACTTTACATTCTCCACTAAGCACCGGTATATAAACAATGTTTTGGAACTAAATGATGAGATGTACCAATGAGACTTTGTGGGGGATTGTTGGAAATTGTTAGTAGGCCCTTGGCCCAAATCCCAACTAAAAATTTGAAATTCTCATGGCCCATTCATGCATGACTATGAGTGGTGTGAGTGGGACTAAAATTTAGTCCCACCCCGAAAGTTGAGTGGGAGTTGCACCTCTTTATAAGGTGAGCTCTTCTAGCACTTGTATGAGCATAAGAAGAGGACACCTACACGCGCGCTCCTCCTCCACGCTAACCGCGCCGAGTTTTGGGAATGAGCTGAGCTGAGGACAAAGCTATGCACGTTGTGTATATTGTTGTTGTTCAGAAAAATTAATGAGTCACTAATTAATAATTAATTGATGTGTTAATTACTGAACCGTTTCCGATACTTTTGAATCACGACGTGGACGTGGGGTTTACTCCCACGACCTACCCAGCCCGTATTATATAGTCAGGCAGACGTCTACCCTAACTGCTGTCACAGCATATGGTTTCACACCATTCTAGATCATTACGCCACCATGCAATTCTTCTTCATCCCTCCTTCCGGCGTGCACCACGAGAAGGGACAACGGGCCTGCGGAACCCCGCCTCTCGTGATCTTGTACGGGAGAGGGCGATCAGGTTTTTGGCGAGAGCACTCACACGACTGCTGACAGCGACGACTTCGCCAACGACGACTTCTTCCCCGATCTCGGCAACCTCTTCATCAACGACATGGCCGTCAACCTCAACACCGATGGTTCTGCTCCCACCGCCGTCCTCCTTGTACGAGATCGTGCTAGAAATCTTATTTCTAGTCTGTGCCCTAGATTCGATCTGTTCACCTACTAGTCTGCATGATTAGTTTAATCTCAATTATTGTCGTCATGATTTATTTACTATTTATTCGGGTTAAATCTCATACGTAATAATTTGTTCATATATTCAACAAATTGGACGTTAAATGGGGCTGTTAGCTGAAATCCAATAGCGTTTGTGGAGAACGTAAACAACAAGACGTGGCTAGGGGTAGTATAGAGCAGGTATCCTAGGATGCGCTACAGTGTGAAAGCGGCGGGAGTTAGATGCCACTGAAAAGAACAAGACAAGAAAATCAGTGCAAGAGGAACAAGAAGAAGTGCGTATAGATTCCGTCATCATTGAGCAAATTAAATTGCCGGAAGCTTGGCTTACAATGTTACACTCGATAGATATTTTTAGTGCCAGTCCTTTCTCATGCGCTAGCGATAGCCACTAAACAGAGATTCATATCATATATTAGTGCTGTATTTAACTAGAAAGGAGAAATTTGGAGGTAGAGTCAGCGGCGTAATATAATCATGCCACTTGTATTGATTAAATAAAAGAAAGAATATATAGTCCAATTGGTTCATCAACTTTTAACACTACAAATTAAGGAGCGAGGTCTGATAAAAAAAACTAAGGAGCGAGGTGGCGAGGAAGCTGAGCAGCTTAGGAGGAGGCGATGAGCAAGGTGGAGATGGGTGAGGAGGAACAAGAACAAGAAGGTACAGCAGTAGATGATCCAGAGAAGAAGACGAACAAGGCGTCAGCTGCGGGCACTCTCTCGCTGCCGTCGCCGTCCATGAGGGAGGCACTCTCCTTGTCTCTGAGAGAGCAACACCACGACGAAGAGGTAGAGCTCAAATGGGCAGCCATCGAGCGGCTGCCCACCCGGGACAGGCTCCACACCTCGCTCCCTCTCCATGCCAACGCCACTCATCCGTTGGAGCCGGTGGACGTGCGCCGGCTGGGGGCGGCGGGCCGGCGGGAGCTGGTGCACACCCTCATCACCGACATCCACAAGGACAACCTCCGCCTGCTCCGACACCAGCGCCGTAGGATGGACAGGGTCGGCGTGCGGCAGCCCACGGTGGAGGTCCGCTGGCGGAACCTGCATGTCGACGCCGAGTGCCAGGTCGTCGATGGCAAGCCGCTCCCCACTCTCCTCAATTCCGCCATTCCACACTCTCGGTAATCCATTCGTTAAACTCGCCGCTATTCTCTTCTCTTCTCCACTGCCGGACTGCCGGACTGCCGGAGGTATTGGCTATCGAATAGTAAGATTTTTTTACCAACTCGCGCTTACCATGGTTACTGCCAGATACCGTCCAACTACCGCTAGAAATATTTCAAAAGAATTTTAAATTCAAAATTCTGTACCATATAGTACTAATAGATAGGGAAAGGATTAGAGTCTGCGTACTTCCACCGCTCGCGCAGCCGTCATATACGAATTTGATCAGCCGACGCACAACCGGACAGGACTTCACCGCTGGACGCATGCCTCTGTCACTTAGGCCCCGTTTGATAGCTCAACTTTTTCTAAATATTATGATATGAGAATACTATAGTTTTTTAAAATATCATGGTTTTAATTACCGTGAGTTGTTTGGCAACAATAAAAAATTATAGTATTGTCAAAACTGTGATATTTTCTCTGCATTAAAAAAAGAACCCTGTACCTTTTTTAAAGAAACAGAGCATGCGAAGAAAACAAAACTCTTTGTTATCGCCTTCCTCGCTCCCAAGCTGCCGCCGCTCGGAAGATCGTTGGCCATGGAACAAGCCAACAGAAGGGAATGAAAAAAAATGGTGTCATTCCTGCTCCCACTTGCGCTCCTCCTCTCATCGTACGCGTTGTGCATCAGGTTGCCCCCCGAGCAACTCATGCCTAGATTGCTCATGCAATAGTCACGCACGCTGCTGGCTGCCTGGCTGGAGACTGCTCATGCCGTTGTGTACGATCATGGCCATACCGTACGTGTGTAGCTCTACCATCTCGTGTCCTTGCTCGCCGCGGCTTGCCGTGCATGCGCTGCTCCCAAATGCCGCCCCATTCCTCAGTGCGCCGTGCTCGCTGCTGCCGGCCAAGCTGCAGCCGAGCCAGAGCGACACCGCGCGCTTCCGTGCCGCGCCGCTGTGCTGCGACCACCGCTGATGCATAGCATGCCGCTGGGTCTGATTATGCATGACCGTTCAATTTGGGATCAGCTAATTCTTGCATGTTTGCAACTGCTATGAAACAGCTAGCTAGCCACTTTATGTCGTTGTAAACATGCACTAGCCAAACACTGTCACAATATTTTCAATACTGCGAAATACTTTGATATCTCAAAACTGTGGTATCTAGTACCTATAGACAAAAATACTGCAATTTTTCAATATTATAGTTTCTGCAGTACTTCGCTATCAAACACAGACTTACAATTTTTTTGTAACATTATCTGTGTTGCAGAAATCCTTTCACAATAACACTCATATTGCAAAAAAGAAAGTTAAGACAAAAAAAAATCGGTAACATCAGCTATGTTGCAGAAGTCCTGCAGCAACAACACCCATATTAGCAAAAAAATTAAGTCAAAAAAATTCTGCAACACTATTTGTATTGCGGAAGTTCTTCCGCACACTCATAAAAGAAAATCTACAACAGAATCTCTGTTCCAAAAATTTCTACAACAAGAAGTCGATTGCAAAGGATTCTGCAGCACTCGCTTTGTTGCAATGGTGGGAAGGGACGGGCCGCTGGATAGCCCTGGTCGAATGGATGCAGAGGTGGCGGATCTTTAAAAGATCCGCCGGCTGACATGTAGCGTCGCCTTAATAGATAGGTATTGAAGGAAAATATTATTTGGCTCTCCTGAACCTAATAGGAGAGAAAATATACGAAAAAGGTAAAACAATTTCGAAACTTTTTCGTAAAAAAATTGACATTCTGTTGTACTCGTATAAAAGGTTTCGCGAAGAAAAAATCCCGTCAACTTCAAGGCAGAAAAAGAAATTCAAAGACAAAATGTCTGAGTAGTAATATGTTATACTGTTGATTCTGTTCAGTATTAAACTCAATGTTTACGGAAACTATATGCTAGCACAGTGATAGTTTCTTTTTTTGCGAAAAGGACCTCTGGTTTATATTGCAACCGAACAGTGGTACAAAGCACCCCAACAAGATAAGAAAATACAAACAGGTCCCTGGGGAACCAACCCACTCCTCCAACCATCGCAGGCTGCCGAGGCGCCGCCGTTGCTGCTGTCGCCGCTCCCACACAGAGCCGGCATGACCTTGGAATTTGCAGATGGATTGAACACAGACGAGAAGTCTTCAACCTCGGCCCTAGAGGACCAGCATGGCGGAAAGAGAAGAAGGACGGCCATCAGTAAACTACACCAGCGACAATACATCTCAGAAATCCTTGGAGCACCCCCACAAGCACATGACCCTGCCTCTGCATCGACGATAGGGAAGACGTCGACACCATGACGAAGAGGGGGGAGAGCGAATCCCAGAAGGCCAGGACGCCGACGTCGCTTTGCCGCCCAGCCCGAGGAACGAAGAACTCCAGCAGTCCAAAGACCCCCGAGGGGCAATATCATCCCACAGATCGCCAATGCCTCGAACGAACTTGAGATCCAAACCACCACTCGATCCGTAGATCAGCGGAGAGCAGCGCCGTCCACATGCCAGCACCACCAGCACCGGCAAGGAGAGGGAAGAATGGCGGATTTATTTTCCCAGAACGGCGACGAACCCCTCCTTAAGTTGACACCGTCGGCCACTTTTCCTACCCTATCTACACATCGGAAGCTAAGGAACGGGATCCCCACCTCCTCCCGCCACCAGAGCGAGCGGAGGAGGCCGGGATCCGCGCCCTCGCCGGTGGGATCTGCGGATTTCTTTGGTCGCTCCATTTCTCCTCACAAAGCACTCACTTAATTTATTTATCTAGTACAGTGATAGCTAACCCGTTGAGGCCAGTGGCGAAGGTAAAGAAAAAACCTGGGCGGGCCAACTTAAAGAACGAACAAAAATATTCAAATTATAAATCATACTACCAGTTACGGTAGGGATCAGGCTGTGTCGGGATATTTTTTGTCATCCAATGGCACTCGTCAAAAATGTTTGGACATGTCCCGACGTCTAAAATCTCATAAATCGGAATCAAACATAGAGAAAGTTTGCAGCCGTTTGGATGTCTGCCACATGTGCATTTGACACGTTCGGCCCACCCAAAACCTCCTCCGACACGTCCGCTCATGAACCCTCTGAAATCGTTGTCCGCATTCATGTCGCTCAGAGCGGACCCGACTCTACGACCGTCTATCCACATTGATGCCGGCTAGACGAACGTGACCAGAGAGCTGACCATGAAGGCATTCATGCAGATGCGGCGACCGAGAAGCCTAACCCGGTCGTTGTGCCCTCATTGAAACAACGCCAGTTTGCTTGCCCCAACTATTTAAGTCAGACGGTGAACGCAATGCCCTACCCACACCATCGTTGCTCCTCTCCTCTGCACACCTCCGCAAATGGGTCGTCGTGATGTGCAAGTTCGACGACAACAAGTGTTTCGAGACACGCCCCTTCGGATCCGCGCGAAAGCTATGGTTCCTGGCGTCGCCGCCCACGGTCTTCAGGCTCATTGGCGTCGCCCGCTCCCATGGTCAAAACTAAGGTGCTCTCATCAGACGATGAGGAATGACGGAGTCACCCCTCCTCACCAAGTTTGCGCGAGCGGACGAGGAGTACGTGCGGAAGCTCGAGCCACAGCTCGAGTGGTCGCGCTTCCACCATGGTTTGATGTTCCCGGTCTCGCCCAACCACAGCGCCTAAATCAGGGCATCGTGTCAAGGAGGGGTTGCGCGTCAAGGAAAAGCCTTCAACCCACCATGAAGCCGTCTCCGCCACAGAAAGGAGGTGGCAACGGCGCCGTCAGCAGTCTAGGAGCCAGTGGTACTTGGTCGCCGTCAACAAGGAGCAGGCGCTCTCCCCGACGATCGTCAACACGGGCATCCACGTCGCCTACTAGCTCGATGGCGGTGGCCTCCGAGGTGGCGCAAAACATCAGGCGTTGTTTGCGGGGTCAGAAGTCACGTCGAGATGGGTCCTCATGGACCCCGCGCTTGCACGGGCGTAGCCAATCGACCAGTCCAAGACCACCGCGGAGAGCTACGTTCATAGCCGGTGCCAGATCAGCGGCTAGCTCCTCAGAGTGGGTTTGAGGAGTCCGAGCACTTGGTTTGGCTCAAGGTGGACGGCGCAGGGCGAAGTCCACTTTCGCGACCGATTGACGTTGTTAGGCCAAGGCGACCAAGGCTCTGCGCCAAGCGGAGAGGCTAAGCGGATGCGCCGCGAGCACGCAACGACGACTGAGAAGGGTTGTTGCGACGCCTGACGGCTCCGGCCACTGGAGCCACTGCTTGGCCTGTTTGGCACGCCCGCATTGACACAACTCATCGTTTGGCCTATCTTGCACCCACTATTTAAACGCGGCCTTGCCCGGCACGATCCACATGCACACCACGTCCGCTTTCAATCTTTCTCCGTGCACCACCTCCGTCATGAAGGGGGGACTTGAGCTTTGAGCCTGTCCATGGCCATATGAGCTGGGCTCGAATGTGCAAATGCCTTTTTTTTTTCTTTTTCGCAACAAGGATTTTGTTATGGCTTTTGCAATAGCCGTGGTGTTGCAAACAACGGTGGCAAATGACAATGGTGCTCAACAACAACATCATAGATGAGTCAACGGCGGGTTTTCTTTTTAACATCACCTTTGTTGTAAAAAAATTCTGCAACATCATCAGCTATGTTGCAATGTGTTGAAGAGGCGATGATGTTTTTATAACATAATCTCTGTTGCAAAGGTTTCTTTAACATCACCTATATTGTGAAATTTTCCACAAAATCATTTTCATTGCGATTGTAAAAGACACTTGACCGCTTGATGACGTCAGATCCGACGGCTGGCGACCTGGCCACCGACGGACGTGCACGCCCTTGTTTTTTTGCATGTGTTTTCGGACTGTAGCGAACCGGACCCGAGCTGGTCCTGGTCCGCGCCCAGCCACGACCGGACCGCACCGGACGGACGAGCCCCGCCATGCTCCGCATCCGGCAGCCGCGCGAGAACAAGGGCGCCGCCGCTCGACCCCAACGATCCCGAGGAGGGCCTCTAGCGGCCACAGCCAGCCAGCGCGGCGGCCACCACGGGCCGTATGACGCGAGGCACCAGCCGGCGGGGTCCCGGGCTCGGTCCGCCTCTCCTCCTCAATCTCCTCGCCGGCGACACGCTCAACAGGGCACCTTCGTGCTCCTCTCGGGCCCCGCTGCGGTTGACTCCTCCGTCCTCTCCTTCCCCTCCCTCCCTCCCCACGTCGTGCGCGCCGCGCTGCAAGCTCTGGGTAACACGAGGCGACCAGGGGCCCGCCGCCGCGCGCCGCTGCCATCACGACGGGCACAATCTCCCGCGGCCAGAGCAAGCAAGAGGCGTCAGGAGGCGAATGGAGTCGAAGTCGTCGGCGGCGGCAGGGCCCGCCCCGGACGGCCTCTCGCTGGACTCGATCGAGTAGTATTAAAGGGGGGAGGGGGAATGTCGCGGAGGGGAAGACAAACGTGCTGCAGGGGAGGTACCAGGTGGGGCGGGTGCTGGGGCTCGTCCGCGGCGGCGGTCTTCGCCCGGATCTCCGCACCGGCCGCCTCCAGTTGGGGGCCTTCATCGTGCTCTGCGGCCTCACCCACCTGCTCGCCGCCTTCACCTACGAACCCCACCCTTTCGTGCTCGTCTTGCTGCTCACCGTCGCGAAGTGCCTCACCGCCATCACGCTGCTCAGGCTCATCCCGCAGCAGCGCAGCTGCTCCGCGTCAAGGGCCGCGAGAGCCTGCTCTAGAGCAAGGCCCACAAGCTCGAGATCATGAAGCAGCAGGAGGAGGCGAGCTGGCATGTCCGGATGCTCACCCAGGCAAGAATTTGTGAATTACGAGTTGAGGAGTCACGAGTTGGAGCCGAGGTTGAGACTCGTAGACTGACGGCGACTAGTCTACACTACTGCTTGACTGTCGACTGGTAATGTAAGTACTCAACTTACAATATTCAACTACTAATTTTATATTAAATCTGCGATACTTATTTTGGGACGGGGAGTATGGTGTACAATATTTTTATAAAATAAATTGAATCGATCCTGGGGAGAAGCACAACAGTAGAGAATAGTAAGGGAAGGAGCACAACGGCTGCTGGCAATATGACGTTACCATGTTGTCTATAGCCAAGCTTATAGCCAGCAAGTACAATAGTTAGATGTATATAAGTACTATTTTCTTCGTCTCAAAAAAGTGTTTTAATTTTGTACTAATTTTAGTATAAAGGAATACTTTATTGATACATGGTCCATCTTCCTCTCTCACAAAGTTTAACATGTGCTGCAGCCGGTTGTTAGTTTGTAGCCCGCTTCTCTTCTCTTCCTTATTCTATTTAAAGTCTTACACCCTGCCTATGTCACCTTATTATACCAAAGATGCCCTGGACGTTGTTGTTTTCTGCTATGCATGTTGCTGTTGAAAGGCTAGACTACAGAGTGGTTCTGGTTACATAATGTTACAACAACCGATTAATTTCTTCAGTTGGAATATGAGGGGTCTGAACTGCCCGGATCGACGCACTACGGTCAACGCCACGGTTGCCCCGTCTTCCTGTCATATTGTATGCCTCCAAGAGACAAAACTTGACAATGTCGATCAGTTCATGGCAGCCTTTTTGGGTGGGCAGAGACTGCGCAGTTTCGCACAAAGACCGGCAAATGGCACTAGGGGAGGCATTTTACTGCTCTGGGACGATGCTCTTGTTGATGTGTCCAACATCACCTTCATAGCTTACTGTCTCTCCGCCATGGTCGGGGTGCGAGGGACCGACGTACTCTTCAAGATCACCTCCGTCTATGGCCCCACAGACCCCGCTTGCAAAGAAGCTTTCTTTGCTGAGCTCCTAAGCCAGAAACCGCCATCTGGATTGGCTTGGCTTGCCATAGGAGATTTCAACCAGATTTATAGGGCAAGAGACAAAAATAAGAGGAATGTAAACCGCAGCAGAATTAACCGTTTCCGGGCGACGCTTCAGAGTTGTGAACTCAAAGAAATCCACCTCCAAAACCGAAGATACACCTGGAGCAACGAGAGGACTAACCCAACCTTGTGCAAACTGGACTCTTTCTTTTGCAATGCCGAATGGGATGCAATTTTCAACACACGTGTCTTGAATGCACTCTCCTCCTCCCTCTCCGACCACTGCCCGCTACTGCTTGCTGATGAAAAGGGCCCGAGAAGGCCAGGAGTCTTCAAGTTCGAAAACTTTTGGGCGTCCATGCCCGGTTTCAACGAGGTGGTTCTAAGGGCGTGGAACGAAACAGTGGATCACACTGAGCCGTACCAAATCCTCTTCCACAAGCTCAGAAAGACGGCGCTCCGCCTATCCGAATGGAGCCGAGGCC